CGCCACCTTTGGGTTTGTTAAATGAATGTATGTCACTACACAATTCCATTCATGTAATATTTCCTATTTCTACATTTTCCATCCCGACCGTGGGCTTTCGTTGACCAGCGGTTTTGCTTTGAATCACAGCCACGGTGTCTTTGCGAATGGAAAACATGCATCGTTGAAAATCAGGGGCAATAAGCACACGCGAGAAGCGTTAAAGAGCGAGAGGGCGCCGGGGAGTTTTCCCCTCATCGTTTCCTCCGCTTCTTTGTCGAGGCTCCCGGCGTCGCGCTTGAGGGAGAAAACGAGGTCCCCCTGCCTCCCCCGAACCTCATTAAGCTGCGGGATAGATTTACCTCGCCGCTGCGCCTCCGAATGCCTTCACGTCGTCGCCCCGCCGCAGAGCCTCGTCCACGCGCGCCTTCATTCCGACCCGCTCTCTTCCACGAGAGCAGTCATCGATCTTCATTTGTCACTTAACCTCCACGAAGATGAGGACGTGGGAGTGTAGTTGTGCGAGAGTGCGCGCGTTAGTGTGTGTCTTTGGGTTCCTGAAGGATCGCCGGCCGTGACGCCACATGCAGATGAAAACGCGGGTGTAGCGGAGTGTGGGACGGCAAATACACCCACTGACTCCTTCACTCAATGTCACCTGCTAATGACACTTTACATACACGGCCTTATCACAGATCAGGATGTTTCAGGTTCTCGCTCACACACACACTCACGGTCTCGTCTGCAGAGTTTTCACATCAAATAACATCATTTTTCCCCCCCTCACAGTCGGCTTCCGACAAACGTCATTAAATACTTTATCAGAAAACCCCCGATAAAAACCAACACGAGGTTCCAGGCCGATGGCTTCTTAGATGACAGGCGCCGTGAGCTAAATTCAATGCAAAGTAACGACAATAACAACAACGAAATGCACTAATGCTGCTCGGCTTAGTTCCCGCTCGGTCTCTCTGTCAAAACAAGCCCAAAGGCAGTCGGTAGAGAAAAAGGTCAGAGAAGCATTGAGCAAATATTCTACAGTCAATGGAGAGCCAACCGAAAACTAGCTGCACTGCACACACGGGAAGATGTTACTTGCGGTGCCACATCACCATGCACTTACATGGTAAGCACAGGTGTGTGTGTGTGTGTCCGGCATGGTGTTGGCTCCAAAAGTCACACAACTGGATTTGTCACGTCAAACTGCAGGCTTTAAGGCGCACACCGGAAACAACCGTATGTGCCTGTGTGTGTGTGTGTGTGTGTGTGTGTGTGTGTGTAAGGAAGTGGCTAACGCCGAGTTGATTACATCAAGGCAGCTTGCAGACTTGACACCTTGCTGAATTTGTAAGCATTAATCGGTGGGGCCCTGTCACTGATCCGTCAGCTACCTGGATAATTAGGGAGCGTGGCTAACGATGCTGCCGGGAAGAAGGGAAGATCAACTTCTCCCCCACTCACCAGTCATAATTAAGAGACTTCTTTTTGCATTGAGGTAGCAGTAGCGGCAGCGAAGGGGGTGGGGGGGGATCTCTCTCTCTCTCTCTCTAGGCAGCCGATGATGTCAGGGGAGAGGCGGCGATCGGCGTGTGCGCCTCATGGCGGCTTCAATCCGGACAAATGTTGCGGAGCGCTTTAATTAAACGTGCTGAGCTAAGCTATGCAGACAGATCATTAAAAACGTGGCGCTGAAGTCCGTTTATTGGAGACACTGAATCACGCGCATTAAAAGAAATTAACGGCATCTTCACAGCCCGCCCCCCCCCCCCCCCGACTGGAACCAGAACACTTGATTTATGTTTAGAGCGCTAAACTTTTTAATTAGCGGCGTCACTGTGCGAGTGGCCGAACCCAGCCAGTTGCCAAAGACATTTCTATCAAGGGGGGGGAGACAAAAGGCAAACTAATTACGGTACCAAGCCGGGAGGGAACGAGCCGCCACGCGGACGTGTTTAACGGTATCACAGCATGTCGCCTTCCTCCGCCTCCGCGGCCTCCACTGACTCTGCCAGTGGAGAAAGACGGCCCGCTCTCATCAACCGCTTCTGAACTTCCACATCCAGGAGTGAGCGAGTGGATTTCAGATTCCACCTGAGAGCAGTGAGCCCAGAGAAGTCCCCCCCAAACGCTGCACTCCTCTCGGGGATTGGTCAGCGAGTTTGCCCCGCCTCTTCCTCTCCGTGTCACAAAAACGACTTCTGGGCAAGAATAGGTCATCTTTTTTTCTTCTCCTTTGCAGGAAGAACCTCTTTGACTCCTCTGGGGTGAATTCAGCACCACACTGTAATCACACTGACGGGGGGAACGACCGGTTCACAGAATAGAATCAACCGCCATCAAAACTGGCACCACGAGGAAGGCAAATGTAGAATTACTACTTCTCTGAATGTCTCGTATACAATGTTAAGTGACCTAATTACTGGTTATCCAGCTGTAACATGTACAGAATGTTGCCCTATTTAAACACGCTACTGATGTTTCCTTAGTAGATCTGTAGAGATATGTGCTGATGACAGCAGCTACAAACATTCTAGATCAGTAGATCACCCCATGAATACATTTCTTGAATTTTAAAAGAATGAATTTTCAGTTACTGAGGAAGTAACGTCTTCAAATTGTTTATTTTGTCCGGCTAACAATCCCAAAAAAAACACCAAAAATATTTCAGCGCTAAATTTGACTGCACATAATCAAAAGGCAACACGGGGACAATAGCATCAGTTGTACACTTTGTTGTCGTCCTCGCCTGGAAAGCTCAACGCCAGTTAAACAAGGAAATTCATTACAGTACGAGAAACGCAACTCGCCAGAAGACGCCGTCAGAACGCTGCTCACGCGTTCCGTGTGATCCACCTCCCAACACATTCTAATTCCCATCGTAATTAACCTACGAGAATTCACTGCATTGGTTTACTCGAGGTCCTGTGAGAAACACCTCAGCAACACAACAGCAGTTCGCTGAGGGGAGACAAGGGGGGGAAGAGAAGAAAAAAAACAGGAAAAATGACAACAAATGACTGCAGCAAAAGTCTCTGCTGCTCAAATTGCACTGCACTCAACTGCCAAAACTAACAGATGCAGTAATGTGGTTCCAAATGAATGAACACTGATGTATTGTCGCTGGTCATAAACTAGATAGTGTACAGCGCCATTACAGGGTCTAAAAATCATCACTGTGACTGATGAAACAGAGCCCATTTAAAATGGCATACAAAGATCTCTCTCTCTCTCTCTCTCTCTCTCTCTCTCCCCCTCACTCCCTCCCCTCGTCCCTCCCCTCTCTCTCCAGTAGAGATGTTAAAGTTTTCAGATTGACCATGTGTCATGCGCTGGAAATAATGCAGAGACACAGACTGCCAAATTGGGATTAACCATTACTGCCTGTGATGCATGCGTCTGTCACAAAACCAGACAATAAAATCAATAGTCAGGAGCGGAGCCTGAACGAGGCCCCTTCAGAGCTCTGCCGAGTGACCATCAGAAGCCGGGGGAAAGAGCAGGAAAACACTGGCTTTCATGGCCTCTTTTGGGGATTCCACCGCCGTTTGTAGCGGAGGTACGAACCGACACTATTCGCTCTCAGGCTTGTTCTTCAAACACATTTTGCTCCATCCATCACTAAAGCCCGCCGTCAATTAGAAATTACAGCCCCAGCGAGTTCAAAGTCTTTCTGTCACAACCTTGATTAAGTCTGCTTAACCTCACATTTCCACCGCCTGCTTAACATTCTACAGCTGTTTTATTCGGCTTTGGTCATTACTGCACAAACTTCAAAGGCTCCTCTTTTACACCCCCCCCCCTCCCAAACCCCAGTCATTTGGAAATGCATGTCAATCACACACACACCGCCCGGGGACATCAAATGGATTCAGGCAAACATGTGATTCTCTCTCTGCAGTTTGTGTCCGGTCAACCTAGCGACAACGTGACGGCCGTGGCCATCGGAGGGGGGGGGGGGGGCAAAAAAGGCACGGGGGCAATGGATGTTTCTGAAACTATAATATTTACTATGAAAAGACAGTCTTATTCAGTGTTAAGAGAGCTCGTGGTGCCGTAGGCGTGATTTTAATGTACTTATCAGCCCTTTAATGTGCAGAGACGCCGCCGTTGCATCCGACCTCTTGACCCCTCGCGTCGGATTTACGACACTTCGTCTCCCTCACGCACGAACACAGAGGTCAGGTCAGGAGCTAGAAGTGGCCATTAGAGGTCTCCTCTCCTCTCCACCCTGCAGTGTTTTGGGGGCCTGTAGGAGATGCTTCTCTCTGTGATCTCGCTGCGCCCCAGCGCCTCCTCCCTCCCTCCCCCTCTCCCCCTTCCTCGGGAATTAACTCGCAAAGTATTTATCCCGCTTGAGAACTTTTCTTTCAAATGTGTCTTTTCTCTGCTCCTCGGCGGGGGCGAAAAGTTACCCTTTGAGGCAGTCCGGCTGCCGGCGCGCATGCGCGTTTTCACTGGTGACTGATTTACTGATGTTCATCGGGAACGAGCGGATCAAAGGCGGCCGCGTGACAGGCGATCAATCAGGCGTCAAATCCGGAACCGAGAATCAGCCACTTTTCTTTCTCTCTCCCGCTTTCCTTTTTCTGCCTTTTTTTGTTGTTTTTCTTTAACTGGCACCAACACAGTAACATCAGTCCCCGTTAAAAGGGATTAAGTTAACCCTGTTTCCTTTGAGAGAGTTTGAATGCGGGCACCCCGCCCCACATTCAAAACCCTAACCGAGGAGGGGGGGGTTTTTTTTTTCTAGGGGGGGAGAGGATGGTTGGGGAACCCCCCCCCCCCCCCTAAAAAAAAGACAGGGCGCCAGACAAACACGCCTGGGCTGAGTATTAATATAAAGGGCTGTTTGGGCTCGGAATGCCTCCAGGGCCCCGTTTGGCCCCCCCCCCCCCCCCCCTTTGGGAAAACTTGTTCCGCACATCGAGTCGGATTCCCGGGGGCCGGTGGTCGTGACCGTGGGGGAGAATAATTGTGCGTGTGTTTCTGTTTGTGTTTGTGGAGCCGGGGGGGGCGCTTACCTGCTGACCGCCGCGGTGCTTCCTGCTTTCTCCTCGGCATGCTGCTGCAAGACTTCCCGCTGGACTTTTCATGCAGAGATGTGAACGGCGAGCGAGCTGCAGGAGGAAGCCCGACGCGAGGAAATCAACAACAACAACAAACAAACAAAAAGAAGAAGCAGTGGCGTTTCCTCTTCAGCGGGTTCTTCAGCGGGGGGGTCAGGAATGACGTGTAGATCCCTGGCGGGGCGAAGAAGTCTCTGTACGTCGGTCGCAGTTTAATCTCTACTGATCGTTTTTTGTTGTTGTTGTCGTAATAATCGGTATGTCCGGTGAGATCGGAGCTTTACGCGCCTCTTAGAGCAACAGCCGAAAAGTCTGGCTCGCCCGTTAACTTCTCCCGATCACTGAAACTCATCGCGGGCCGGCGAGAGGAAGGAGGAGAAAAAAAGGCTCCGCGCAGATCTCCGCCGGTCGGGGGCGGGTGTGCGCGCGGCTACCGGAGCTCCGCGCGGTGTTCCCGTCGAAATGGGTTCACAGCCTCACCGGCGTCCTTCGTGCCTCGAGCCCGAGACGAGGAAACGGAGCCGCGACTCACTCGGCGGCGGACAGTGAACTGCGCCGCGTTCGGTGCCTCGCTTCGCGTCCTCCGGCTCTCACGGTGCCCGCTCCGCGCGCTCCGGTCCGCGACCTCCGCTACAGTCTTCAGGAGGGAGGAGGAGGAGGAGGAGGAAGGGTGGGGGGGTCAAGAAAAGAGTGACACGTTAGCCTGGGACTGGGTGCGCGTCAGTCAGTCAAGTGTGTGTGTGTGTGTGTCCGCGCGGAGAAAGCATGCAGCGGGCTCCAGCCCCGACAGAACCGTCTCCCCGAACAACATCTGGATCGTGAAATACTCACATTTCCTGTCTGCCTTGGATCAAAAAGTCATCGCCAAGCACAACGCGCGGGCCCGCCTTCTGGAGCCGCACACTGCGCGTCACCGCCGCTGTGGTTGTTGTTGTGTTTTCTTGTTGTTGTCGCCTTTTGTATGTATTGTAGGTGTCGTAAAAAGAGAGCAGCGAGCGTCCCCGGGTATTCTCCGCAGTGAAATGTGCGCTCATTTGGCGATGCGCGGTGCGTCCAGACAGCTCTTCCCCCCACTGATAGACAAGACGCATCCAGCTGCCTTTCCGGCCTCTCCTTTACTCCACCCCTCCGAAAAGCGTCACCCTGACAGGCAGAGCCCACCTGTCAATCTGCGGCTCTAATTGTTCACTGGGATGGCTTTCAGTCCGTGGCTTACACCGTCTCCGCGCGCACACGCACACGCACACACACACACACACACACACACACACACACACACACACACACACACACACAGATACAGGGGTGGGTGTAGAGAGGGAGGGGGTCCCGTTCGTTGACACGCAAGTGGCCGATTTGTAAACTTATACTTTAACAACAGAATGAGAGCTGTTTGCAAAAAGTTGACGTGCAGCCTGTGTGTGTGTGTGTGTGTGTGTTTGGTTTAATAGTCTCTACGGCTCCAGTATAACTAGTATTAGCTGAGGACTGCAGTCCTGCCATCGACAATAGGAATCCATATTTTTAATATGCAAGTACAAATAGCGTCTGCATATAAAATCGTTAAAAGCCCCAATAAACCTATTAGACGTTGTTGATCCGACAGATGGAGGATCATATTTCTACCAGCGCAGCAGAATCAGGCGCGTCTGATTATTGGGATTATACCCTGAAACATCCATCACTAATAATTCATGTAAACATTGGGACTTGGAATCTCTGGCAACATGTAAATAAAAATACAATTTAAAAAAAACACAGTAAAAGAACCCAAACCTCTACAAATCACATTATATATACCAAGTTATTATTTTAATACAACTTTACGACACCCTCCGCTGAGTTATTTCTCCATAAAACCCGACACGTAAGACAAATAAGGAGTTCAAGTGTACAGATCAGCTCTGCTCCAAAGTTTGCTCCAAAACGTGGACATTTTCAGTGACCTCTTTAGCGGGACAAAGGAAGCCGCAGATCGATTCGTTACACCTATTTTCCTTTTTTTCTGTGAGGCTGGTGGCCAAGGGGAGGGGCTCCGAATCCACGAGGGGCTCCATTAAAAGCCTACACTCCGTCCTAACTATTATCCACCATAAAGTGTTGATAAAGGGCACACAAGTAGCCTATAATGTGATCTCAAGCGAGACGAAATACGGGTTGGAGAGGACGGGGGACGAGCGGGAAGGGGCGCGAACGTCTCAAGTGTGAGTGATAGCGTCCCGAATAACGGGGATGGCGCACGGGGAGCGGGTCGGTCCAGCCCGGAAGGCGCATCCTCTCCAGCACGCGGACACCTACGGGACTTTAGGACACTATTCACCCACCGGTCCGGCATGCGGATTTACGAGACACCGGATAACCAAACCCTGCTGCCGACCGTCCTGGTGAGTTCCAACACCCCCTCCCCGCCCCGCCCCCCCCCCCCCTCCAGAGAGCAGGTAATAAAAACAGCCGGGTGTCTCCACCTTATTACGCACAGCAGCTAAGAGGCTCCTCAGAAGATTACTGCGTCAACACGCTCGGTATGTTTGTCTGGAGCGCCGCTGTCTCGTCCGCGTAAAATGATCTTCTGGCGCACAGAATGTCTGAGGTCGCCTATTATGTGCTAAGAAGAAATACCAAGTACCGCCCCAACATCTGTCGGTCCCGGTCTGTCAGGGAGGCCTGCCCGCTGATTGATGGAGGCCACCTACGTCACTGGTTGTTGTGTTTTTTTTTTCTTTCCTCACCCTGAAGTCTGCAGACAGACGTGTCGTTTTACACAGATTAAAAGATGTCTGTCTACTTATTTCAGACTGATCACGTTTTAGATTCAATTACAACACACAAATCAAACTGAAAAGCGGATCATCTGTCAACATGAAAACCAAAAGATTTTAATTTGAATATTTTTTTTTGCAGCCGAAGCCGGCTCACTTAAATTATTATAAATACTGTTGTTGGACATGTAGAATGGTTGAATTTGCTTTTCTGCGAGCTAAGTGTGAGTGTGCGGTGCTGCTGTATTCCTCGTCCTTTAAACAAAAGCATTAAAGGTTAACAGCAGCGATGCTTCACAGCCCCTGGGTGAGGTTTTGTTATGTATTTTAGGCTACTATTCAAATAAGGGGGGGAAAAGACATTTGAATGGAACGATCTCCGGTTTTAAAGTACTATTATCAATCTTGAGTACTCATTGTAATGCAATTTATAAAATGTTCAGGTCAGTGACTAAAAACGGAGGATGAAATGGGCCTACCTCGTATCCACGATAAAAGTAAGACTATATATATAGTTGATAGTGATGTCCACTGTTATGTGATGTGAGTGAGGTAAAGCCCTTCTTGCTTTATGGACCAGTGGCACAGCAGTGAAGCTTGTGCATGGTCTGATCCTGGGCCAGCAGGGGGGGACATGTGGTTCATGAGGCAGGCTAGTAACCATTTCTGCATTCAAATGTCTGTCAGTGTGCCGGACTCGCTCAAATGATCATGTTACAATTACAACGCTTGACTCGGTCTTTGTATTATATTTCTCTCACATCGTTCTTTTCCTTTTATCATCTCTTGCTTGTTTTCATTCACTTTCTTTCTCCGTGCTCCTGGGTGCCATCTATTTAGAATGTTCAACTATTGTGAGAGTAATCCCTTTAATATCAGTCATTTTATGTGAAGGAAGGTCGGGCGTTCGTTTGATAAGAATTTCCATCAAATTTCTCTGCTTCACCCTGAAAGTCAAAAAGAATATTTCAATTTTGCAGCTGCGATAAAAAAAATAAAAAAAATTGCAAAACATGAGCATTTGCACTACTCTCTTCAAAACCTTTGACATACAATTGACGACATGTGAATTAGTACAGTGACCTCAGATATTCACTCATTCCCACAACAGAAAGACTCACGCGTTATTCCACCCGGGACCAAACCCCCCTGTCCAAGAGCACGAGTGACAAAAGCCGAACGCACAAAGGGTTGTTTTCCCACCACCCCCGACTTGTATACGTGAAGCCCTTCTTCCACACACTGTGGCACGGTGACAGCGCGATGACATGTCATCCTGTTTTCCTCTCTTCCGTGTGATGAAACTCCCTCAGAGCTGGCGAGAACATCCGTGTAGTTGTCATGTATATTTTACATAGATTACTATTTTCTGTTGTCTCGTCTTTTTTTCCCTTCGCAGGTCGGACGTGAGCATCGACAAAGCTGTTCACGAGATCTACGTGATCGTCCCTTAAAGGAGTTCTGCTGCTTGTCAAACGAGGTGAGCGAGCTTTTTGAAAGACACACTTAAAGTCAACTAATAAAAATACTTTTTTCCAATAGAAATACTGTAACTTTAACGGTGAGGTTCCCCAAAACACACATACACATACACAATGCACAATCTTCGCATAAACTCCCAGAAAGAAAATTCCTACTGGAGGTGTAATTTAATTTATTTTACCACCAAACAATCCAGAAAATTATTTGTGAAAACTACATCTGTTAGTTTTAGAAACTTGTTTTATCATCATCATCATCATCATCATCACTGCCATCGAGAGCATCCCATGTTCCAAAAACTAAAAGAACACATTCTACATTGGAATGATATAAACGCTTTGAGCCACACACACACACACACACACACACACACACACACAGCAGCACACGGACATTCTTGTATGGACAAAGTATTGAGAGTAGTGATCACTGTATGAAGGGAATTGTTTTTATATATTTTTTATCTTTGCAATTACGACGAACATCCACAAAAAAAACATAATGACATAAACCAGGAACTCAATGCCCACCTCCTAATGTTAATAATTCATGTTGTATTGCAGATTGTGGCCTGTGGCTAACCATTTTGCAGCCATAAACCTGCGATGTCAGAAGGTCGGGGCTCCTCTGGTATGCGAGTACAGCAAATTGGCTGTCAGGGGTCTGACGTGGTGTTTAATGTCTCTGTGATATGGTTTTTGAGGAATCTCTTATATTTCGATGTTGGTCGTATAGCGATCTGCTGCAGCGCCGGACCTCTGAACCCGTTCTTGGCGGACTTAACTAGAGTGAAATCTTTTCCCTGGGTGTCACTCAAATAAGTTAACATTTGGAATGACGACGGCTTACAGCTTATGATAATGCCGCTCTTCATAATCTTGAGTAATCTTCAATCAATGATGGGTCCTATCAGATTCCAGACGCTCATTGACAGGCTGAATATAAGAATATATAATAAAAAATTAATAAAGAAGAGGCTCTAACTTTGACATGAGGTATATCTCCACATCTATCTGATAAGACTGCATAATTAAAATGCCAAGTGTGAGTGTGGAGAGAAAGAAAGAGAAGTTTTGATATTTTATGGAGATTTACTTTTCCACGACTTGTTTTATGTATAGACTTAAAAAAAAAGATATATGTTGCCGTAGGTTTGACAATGCAATTAAAGGTTTGTAATCCTTGCCTGAGCTTTTTTTTTTTTCAGGTTGTGTCAGTTTGGACGAGGAATGTGATGAGATGCTGTGCAGCGGTGACACATGCAGGTTTATTAAAGGATCCAAGTCTCGCAGGGATTCAACGTGTTATTTTATAGCAACAAGAAAGCTGAAATTTAGAAGAGGCAACTTCTAACTTCTTCAGCTTGTTTACATGAACTATGAAATAATCGTACGTACATACGGAGCTGCAGAGAGCCGTATTTGTTTCTTTCATACATGAGCACCACTTTATCTGAGACTTTCTGGGAACAACTCTGCTACAAATCCATCCCAACTCGGGAGAAATAAAGTGACATATTCAACGTTCCTCCGACACGTACACTGCTTCCCTCTCCTCCTCCCTTCCCTTTTGTTTTCTTCGACACGTGCCCTCCAATTAGCATTTTTTCAGCCATAACGGAGGACAGAGGCAGCCAAATGTCTCACCAAGCTCCTTTTCCCAAAAATACAAAAATAAATAAATGGAGGAAAAAACGACTCAATATGAACCTCAATGCTAACATGATCTTCTCCACGTAACAATTGCCAACCGCTTTGTCTGGAGGAACAAACTAAACAATGCAACCATTAGAAGAGATGAGAGCAATTAAAATCATTAAAATTACTTTTAATGATAGAACGCCAGCAATAGGGATTGTTTTGTCTCTCAGGGACATTGTTTGATCAGTAAAATATATTGTAAATATTTTCACTTTTTAATGGAGATAGAGGAATGTCTCCTGAGGATTACATGCAAAAACTGTACGGTAATGTTCAGTTATACGCCGCAGACTACGGTTGGAAATCACGTGATTTTCTTCTTTTTTCTTTCTTACATGTCAAATTAGCGCTTTCTAATCCCCAATTTTCCTCCAAAATGTATATATGTGGATCTGAAATTCCACAGATCTCTTGCTGCAGACTTTGGCTGAGAATCCGTCATGGCTGTGCTGTACGTTAAGGGAGAAAACGCTCTTAAAAAGGTTCTTTTCTGACATAAAAATGACTTGTGTGCACAGCGTCTGTCGATCCGTGCAGTTTGAGGCATATATTTATGAATAGGAACCTTTAATTAGGGCTTGTGTTTCCTCCCCAGTCACATTGAGGGATGGTCCTCGCCGACATTCATTAATGATAATCACCAAGAGCGATGGCATAGCTACAGGCCAAGTCTCAGGGGACCCGACACTTGAAAAGAAGCATTAAATTACACAGAGGGACTCTTTAATTGCAAAAAGGGAAATATATAGCCATCATTGTTAAATATGATCTTTTGTAAGCCTTTACTGGTTCAAGGATTTGTCTAAAGCGTTTCTTATCCTCAAACTCTTTCAAAGGAATCTTGAGCCACATTTCTGCGATAATACACTAGCTTTAAGAAAAAAAAACACTTATTTTTACCCCTCTCGGTTTTCCTTTTTTTTTTCGCAAACCGAACAGAAAATGTGAATTTATGACCGTTTTACACATTTGCATTTTATTGTATTTTCAAATTTCACATGTAATTCAAATTCGAGTCGCATATCGAACTGTTCAGAATTATGCATTAGCCCCAATGATGCAAAAAGCAGGATTGTGTGAAGTTAAAGCAGACAGCGTTTTGGAAATGCATTTCCAACGCTTTCTCAAAAATATACCACAACAACTGGGTGGGGTTTCCCCACGGGGGTGTTCACACGTCTCTGTCCTGTGTAACCTTCGTCTGGCCGAGTTTTTTTTGTCCTTATGGAGAGGAAGACGAAGCCATATATATTTTTCTATATATATATATATATATATATATATATTTTTTTTTTCCTATATATATATATAAATATTATATACTAACCTAATTGTCCATGCTGCTTGCATACTTGTATACTTAAATGTAGGATCTCAATAATAACAAAGTTGTGCATGAACACACATTGACATACGCTTACACACATTTGTACTCACTCACACCCCAAACTGCTGACCTAATTGCTCGCTCTCACTCAACTAATTAATCACAGCTGACTTAACGTGGTGACAAGGTTACGTAGGTGACATTCTCCAAAAACGTCTTTCTGCCTCCCCCTTCACTCATTCATTCTCCACCCTTGGATACTGCCTTATTTCCTTTTGGGGGTTTCTCTTTTCTCTGTTTTGCATTTTTCTCGCTTTCAAATTATCCTCATTTATGTCTTCCTCTTCCTTCCTTCTATATTGTGTTTCTCTGATTTTCTTCTCATCAAATCATGTCAGGCTCCAATTCAAATGGAGAGCGAAACTCGGCCCACTTCTATTTTTACCTGTTATTGGAGGTGTGGAGGGGGGGGGGTGTTGGCTTTGCAGAGGTGAGACTGGGCATGCTGGGTAAGAAGGAGGGTTAGGGGCGGGGTCACAATGCTCCATTAATCAAAAAGAATGACACTCAAGTTGTCCCTGACAACCATCCTGCCACCCGTACGTCTGTTCCCCTCCTCCTCCATCCCACTCAAACAGGACAACTTCAGTGATGGGAAGGGCGAAGACAGGAGAGAACGAGAAAGAGAGAGAGAGAGGGGGTGGGGGTGGGGGGGCGTGGGGGAGAGAAGGTGGAGAGGGGTTGAGCGAACTTTATTAATCAAGCATCTCAGATTAATTGTTATGAAGTGTCACCCGTAAATTCTCCATTTGGATTTAATAATCTCGGAGGTAGACTTAACAATCTCTGTCGTGGTTTGAGTTTTATTGAAGAGGCTGCGGAGGGAAAGAGAGGGAGAGAGATGCAGTGACACAAATAGCTTCTCAGCGGACAGTCCCTCTCCGCATGACAGTTATGAAATACAATTATCAGCCAGATCTGCTTAAGAATTCATCAACTGCACCCCTGCCTTCCAAGGAGAGATGGGAAGAAAAAAAGATCCTACATACAAAGCAAGTCTTAACTGATAAGACTTCTCTTTTCCCCCACAGCCCTTTAACTACCATTCCAATCCTTCTCTGTCTCCGACGCGTTAAGTCACTGTAAAGGTAGGCGCATCGCTTTGAAAGGCCTCCGCGTGTTGTATTAAAGCATAAATCGTTAGGTAATCGAAGAATATGGTATACGACGCACCACATGCAAATCATCCAGGTTTTGAGTAGTGTGTTTGGAATGTGTTACCCGTTAGTTTGCGTCAGGGTCAATGATAGCAGTTAATCCCCCGCATGCAGAGAAAATATACTGTCAGTGGATTGCACGACACCCTGTCAGCTCTCAAAAGTAACTGAATCATAAAACGCAAATGATTTCAATCAATTGTCGTCTAATTGCAGTCATATCTTTTGAAATGACCGGAGAACAGCCACCATGTAGGTTGACAGTATGCATAAAATTAGCATAGCTTTGCATACAGCAACCCCATTAATGTTAGTTTTATTGAAGGCTTGGGTTTTCCAGATTTTTTTTTTTCCCCTTCACATTAGCATCGTCTTAAAGCAACGAGGGTGAGACAGTCCAAATCACAGTTGTAAAAAGGGTCTAACTCAGCTGCAATTAAGACAATTTAACAAAACGGAGCTAATGTTCTACTTCAAAGTGCAGCATCAGGCCTTGTTTCTGTCTGAGAGCCGCATGTCTGATCCTTGTTTCCTAAGCAAAGTAATCTGTCCAGCGAGGATGGGTTGACAAAAGACAGATCTGAGCAATAGAAAACAACTCTGTCTTTGTTCAGAATAATAATGGGAAGTCTTTATGTGACAATTTTTGGGAGAAGCTTGTTAAACATTTTCCTTTAACCACACGTTCCCCTCCGCCAGATATCGCCCTGATCAATGGCGCGCCGGCTCTGTGAAAAATGACAATAGCCGCACCCGTGGTAAATGTTTTAGCTCTCAACACAGCTTCATCCCCCGTCACCAAACCGCGCGGCCGATCAGTCAGCGACACCACGTCGGGGGCCTCGGCCTGGTTAAACCCAAGCCCATCTTGTCCCATCAGTAATTGCAGTTGTCTGCTTATGATGTGTGACTTCTAAACGATTCCTTCTCTTCAAGCTCATCTGTTTTAGCGAGTCTGAAGCACTAATTCAACGGGATGCTGGAGAAATGTTCAAATGATGCTGTGACACTTGAGCACCGCAGGAGGCCGGACCGCGGGCAACACCCCCGCCCCCCCCGGTGTGTTTACATGCACCGCCATGATGGGATTAAGCCCAGAAGAAAGCAACACAAATGTACTCCTTAGCTATGATACACAAGTTAAGGTTGTGGGTAGCGTGTGGGAAATAAACAGAGTATAGGACTCTGGTCATTTGGAGTTGGTCAGCAGCGTGAATGCAAAGTGGTTTGTTTGAAGTGATGCGTTTGAGGAAAGAACTACTACAATGAATGCATTGCGTTCTACACATTTCTCTGTATTTTCTTTTTTCTGTTGTTTTATTTCCCCATCGATCTTGAAGTCTTCCTCACATCCTTCAAGGCATTAACTGTCCAGCTGCCAACATCAACTTGTGGTGTTGGATAACAAGGTATACGTATACGAACTACAACCTCAGCCTGGGTATTCACGGTGTCTGGATCATTAACATGTGATCACTTAAATCAGTAGAGAAGATTGTCGTTATTTGAATTCCATCCTCCTGTGTGTTCTTTTTCAAATACAAAAATAAATGGAAATGCTGAAGAAAATCCAAAATATTGCAATTATGATTTTATGCTAGGCTAAGGTTGATAAGAGAAGATCCAATGAAAAGGGATTAAAAACATTTAGCGTGAACATGACTAACCGTAAAGAATAAAAGCATTTGTGTCGTGAGGTAACTGCAACATCTCTGGGTTGATAAGTGGGCGTTTGTTGCTTTTCTGTATGAACACTGCAGGTTTTATTGCTTATTGTATTGTGTTTTTATTGCCTTTGTGGTATTAAATCAGATATGCTGAAAGTGTGTGTGTGCGTGTGTGTGTTTGCCAAATGGGGTCTGTGCGTCCAAGAAACCCGTTGTTTCAGGAAGTTCCCAAACGAGGCATATGTTGTCGCTGAAGTGACAAAGCCCACTTGGAGTCGTAAATATGTCGGCAGCAAAGGAGGAAATCTGGTGACATCATTACTGAGCAACAAAGCCATTAAAGAGTCAGACTTTGTTTAACATTTCCTACCGCCGGT